GAAAAAAGACTTTGGAATCAGCATTCCTTGACCAGGAAGGGGGTAAAGCTGGCTTGGGGGAACTTGGAGACCTCCCATTTCTCGTGGATCTGGAATAGGTACCTGCACATGCTTTCATGGATGCCTGCCAACAGACGCTTGTTCCCATCAGGAAAATATCATGTCCATTTGTTGTTTTTGTGTAATTTTTTTTTCCATGGTGCATTTTTTAAAAAAAAAGAAATAATGAATTTCCAAGGAATTCCAATCCAAATTTTAAAAAAATATTAAAAAGCTAGCATGATACAGACCTTATAGGACTGTCCCGATGTAGTCATCTTCCACTGATCCCTCCATTCTTTGTATGTATTCGCTATAGTCTTCTCTCTCTCTCTTTTTTTTTGGTTGTCCTGTTACCTCCAGGGTTTGACCACCATTTTTCCATGGGGCGGAATGAGGCAGTAGGTAATATCCAATACCTTGCTAAAAAGTGATAAGGCCGCAAATCAAACTTGCCATCTCTGTCTCTTGCTTTAACTGGCTGTTATCCCATACCTTGAAATCCCATACCTTGAGATCCCATATCTCCAGCTGACAGAGCAGTTTGTTTGTCCTGTTTTCTCTGATAACACAGGGAGAGGAACAAGAAAGCAACACTTGAGTCGTTACTTTTTCCTAAACTAGAATTTGATCATTGAATTATCATTTGAAAATCTTTACTGAAACCAGACTGGTTCTGGGGGCGGGTGGGGTCAGGGTGTCCAACGTCACCTTCCTGTTTAGAGTAAGGATTTGATTTTTAAAAGTAGATGATTTGTGAGACTGATTCGTCGTTAAATCTAGGAAGAGACTTGAAACACACTTGGGGTTGTCCAGGCTTCTCTTTACAGACTGGGAAGCAGCAGGGAGGGGAGAGTCCAGCTTCTTTAAGGCCAGAATCACCTGTAGGGTCACTATAGCAAACTCTAAAGGTAAACAGCCTGGTGGAGAAAGAGGACAACACATCTGTCTACTGCAGAGTGCCTCCACCCTGCTGCCGTAGTCAGTCTCTCTGGCTGCTCAAGTCACTGTGGAAGTCTATTGGCTAGTTTTAACCTTTACCTAAAGATACAAGCATAAATTTGTGTGTATGTGGGTGAGTGTGCTTTAAGTTAGTTCTATTACATGTTCCCATCTGTGGTGGTGTGACCTGCAGGGTCTCAGGTAGCATTGTAGTCTTCCAGTGTCCAAACTATGAAGTTCAAAGCTCCAAGAGCATAGAGAGAAAGGGGTGCCAAGAGAGAATGAAGGCATGGTTTTTAAAAATCGAAACCCATATGTTCTAAAGGATTCTTTTTTTCCCACCTCCGTGTTATCTTTTTTTTTTAACATCAGATATGAATCCAGGATTGATTTATCTCTTTCTGTGGGTTAATTTTTGTATTTCCTCCCCAGTATATTCCAATTTCCCGTGGATGTTGTAGGTTCTGTACAGCAGGTAACCATCTGTTAAGAGTAAGATGAATACAATGATATCAATGGCCTCTGTCAAATTCAGAGCTTCACTGTGATTGGTAATGGGTGAATTCAGCTCCCATCAGTAAGAATCTGTTTGGTATGTATAAGCTTGATTGGGAAACAAGCTTGCATTGGTGTATGTCCATAGACGGGAGACATGTGTATGCACTTTACCATATTGTCCCATTTTACCTGCCCTCTGCCCAGCGCATAGCCCCAGTCCTGTCGGAGAGCCACCTAAAAATTCAGTTACCCTTCTCCTAACCAAGGGAGAGGTTTAGTTCCAGATGAGGAGCAGCAAGGGTTCACATAAAACACTTGCAAGGAACCATCAAGAGAATTTCTTAACCTAAATAGAGGAGATAGTGACCCAACAAAAGGTTACTCAGCGGCATTGTCTGGTTGAATGGCTTACAGGAATCTCCAAGAACTTCTACAGGAAGCGGGGTGAACTTTCCTCATGCTCCTGCAAAATAGTTGGTTTGGGACATCTAGCTGAACACAGATCATGCATGCTCAGAATCATGTTTTTAGCAGTAGGTTATCTTTTTTTTGCCTGATCCTTGGCACAGCTGGAGAAACGTGCATATCCAGGTTGGTAGTTTATACATTTTGGGAGCAGCACTCTCTTATATTGCGAGTATGTAAAAGTTACCATGCTGAACCAGAAGTGAAGTCATTCACTTGCGAATAACTGGCCACCATTTTTTTTTAAGTAAAATATGCCACCAAAGGTTAGAACTATTGGCTAGTGGCCAAGCATCATCATCTTGTAGGCATTGTGATTGCACTATGCATCTTGAAAGCAAAACAGGATTCATTGACGTTATGCTCGTTTGGGCAAAATGAAGTATGAAAGTGCAAGCGCAGAGCTGACATACAGGTCAAGGAGAGAATGGGCAAATGCCTGTTAATTTGTAAGCTTTGTTAGTCTAAATATGGTTAAATGGCAGTAAAAGTTCCTTGTTATCTAAAGATTTCCTGCAGTTTTCAAATTAACGGCCACTGCTAGCTGTTACTGAGACATCTGTGTCCTTCACCAAGGGCCAGGCTTCTTCCCCTCTGTGTAAAAGGGTCTAAGTAGTGTTCGCTTGGTAGGAAATGTACTTTCTCTTTAGCTTGGCCAACCCTATTGAAAGGAGTTAGCACTTCTCTTTTAGTTGACAAACAGTGCAATTCTAAGCAATGTAAATGTTTTTGGACATACAGACATGTAACTTTGTTTAGGATTGCACTGAAAGTTTCTGTAATCCAGAGAAGTTACCTTAAATCTTCCTGTGTTTTTTAATTTGTTGAGTTTTGTTATATTTATATCTATCTACTGTTCTTTCTGTCTGTACGCTTATTATTTCTTCATCTGTTATCCTTGTAGACATGGAATTTTCCGATTTGAATTTATTGTATTCCAGTTCCTTATGATATTCAATAAAAATTTGTTAAAACGTCTTTTGGCACCTGTCTGTTACCTGGAAACATCGATGCACACTAATCGTAAAAGAGAAAGCAAAATATTTTTACCTTCCTTTTAGGATTCCATACATCCCCAGTCCATAAGATTACATTTTCATTCCTTAAGTAGTGTTTGCTGTGAGAAACCAGCACAGTATGCATCTCTCCTGATATAAATAAATATCCTGATTTCCCCATAGAAGTGGTATAATCAAGAATGCTGTTTGCGAAAGTACTGGTTTGGGATGTCTAGAGCAGTACTATGGAGACCCATCCAGAACTCACCCAAGGTTTTTTGACGCCTTAGGCAAACTATGACCTTGGTGCCCATCTAGTTCACCATCCCATTCTCTAATGTGGTTATCCACATACTTTTGAGAAACCATCAAACGCTGCAAAAAGAGTGCAGCTGCCCCCACTATGTATCCCAAGTAACTGGCATTCTGACACAGTCTTTGCATACAGAGGTTATGTTCCGGCCTTTAACCACGCTCTTCTCCATTACTCATTCTAGTCTCCCCTAAGCTTCTAGGAAACTCATTCTAGTAGCCATCAAGACACATTTTACTTAATCAACCTGTATATGCAGTGAAGAAAATATACCAACTAAGATATGGCATGGAAGATACTGTTTGCAGGGTCAGATCTTGGTTTCCAAAATAAAAGAGCAGTGGTAAGGGCGAGGGCAGCTGTTAGGGAGAGCTGGCCCCTGACCCACTTTCAGAGGCTTTGTGGCCCACTTTTGGGTCCCGAGAAAACTGGCCTAAAGGCAGCAGGGTC